TGGTTTAAATATTGTTGTACTGACAAATTGTGAACTATTCACATCAAATTGTGCAATCGTCATCCCATCATTATTGTCTGGTAATTCAAAGTGGTATAATGTGATCAAAATACATGTAATATCATACTTCGGTAATTTCATTGGAGCAGTATTTGTAGCAGTTTATTTTGGTAAATTTCTTGGGACTTTTGAAAGTGAAATATACACCAAATCTCTTTTTAAACTTGGAATAAATAAAACAACTCACCATTGGGGAAAAGCAGTGCTAAGTGGCATTGGATGTAATTGGGTGGTCAGTACTGGCGTTTTTATGAGTAACTGCTCAAGAGATATATTTGGAAAAGTAGCTGTGGTTACAATTTGTGTGATGACTTTTGTCACACTCGGATTTGAACATTGTGTTGCTAACATGTTTTTCTTACCAACTGCTCAGATGTATGGTGCTGATATTACTCTTGGTCAAATTTTATGGAAAAATATAATTCCAGTCTCTTTGGGAAATTTTATTGGAGGAACATTCTTTGTTGGAGTACCTTTTTGGTTTGCACATGTGTCTAACGTGTACAATTTTCCAATCATTGACAAGTCGATTGTGTTAAAATGATAATTTTAAATATATTTATTTGAGCATTATTTTATACGTCTTTGTTTTTTAACAACCAACACAGACTAATAAAATTTTTTTTACTGAAATATTAAATGCAATAGATTAATTGCTTTGTTTAAATTTGTTGTAAATTATAAAAGGATTAAGAAGAATGTAACATTTTTAATATATATTTTGTTTTTTAAATACAACTTATTTATTCACATTTTTATAACCGTTTAACTGAGATAAAATTTTACAGTCAAATAAAAAGTGGAAGCTTGATAAACTCTGAAGCAAATAAAAATCTACTTTGTACGGCTATTGTTTAAAGTATCCAATATTTTGTGTTGTCAATACAACATTTTGTTGCATTGACAAATTTTATTTTTTCTCTATGTTTATATGGGAAACAAAAAATTTTAACATTTAAAAAAGGTATTTAGTTTAATCAAAAAATAAATAACACAACAAATAACATTTTATAACAAAAAGGTGAAATTACAATAATAAAGCCAAGAGAATAAGGGATAACAACAACGATGAACCATAACTATTGTTTCGAAGATTAATAACCTTTTCATTGACACACTTTCCTGATGTGGAACATTTAAAGACATCAAAACAAGTACCACATGTTGGTCGACATTGTTTAGTGAAAGGATTAGGTCCGTCTTCGACCGTGTCATTGTCCAAAGTCAAGCACTCTGTATGTTCGCAATCGAAGGAAGTACTATTACAGTCTGGTTGATTATCATAAAAGTCCGATCTAGTGAGATAAGAAGTTCCAATAGTAAGTTGGCTTCCAACTCGTGTTTTGAACACAAAAGAAATTGTATTAGAAAACACTTTGAGTGTTTTATCAAATATGGCTTTAATTTTTACCTTATTTATAGTTTGGTTAATAGTTAATTTGGTGATTAAGTGTTCCTCTGTGTAATATGTGTTTTCTTCGTCGACTTTTGTATAGTCGGTACTCAACTCCAAATCGGCTCTAATCAACTCAAACCCCTCCAAATCACTGAGAGTGAATTTAAAAAGGAATTCACTGAAGTCGTTGTTCATCAAAATTTCAGTTGGGTAGAAAAACGATATTTTTGTTTGTTGATCTTTAATGTTCAACACAATATTTTTAAGTGCAGAGTCGTACATTGTTCCAGTGCCATCCATATTAATATGTTTGATATACCATTTGAAGAACATGAGTTCTTCAAATGCACTGCCTTCTTCAAAGACTTGAATTTCTGTAAAGAACTTGCACTTTAAAATCTTGTTTTGCTCAAATCTAACACCCGACGCGTATCGATCTCCAGTGGCCAAATTGATGTTATCAATATTAATATTTTCACTGTCTAAAGCTATTAAAGAGACATAAATATTCTCATTGTATAAAGGAAGAGTGAATGTGTCGTCGAGATTTTTATCGAAATATAACAACTCTTTAGTTGAAACACGACCTAATGCTATTTTTGATTGCACTTTATTGGCATTCACTATCTGCAAATTGACTTCAGTTTCTGTTCTATTCAGAACGAACAAAACTGGTGTAGCAGACAACCCAATATCACTGAATGAAACAGTCACTTGTGTCATATCTTCTGCTTGATTTACAAAACCGGCGGTTAAAGTTTTGAAAAGGTGTGGTTGCACTGCAATCAGTCTTTCCTCTTTATCGCCAGTTAAAGTTGGTCTGATATAATTTCTATATCCAGCTATCATGCAATTCATCTGAGTTTGTGATGAGCCGACGATTTGAAGCCATTGCCCACATCTATTGATGGTTCTTGATGAGGTGTGGAGAAACATCATTTTTTCGTGGACATAACATGCCATGTTCAAATTCATAGCAAAAATTTCTTTCTTGGGGTCTGGTATTCGATCATAACAATCATACGACTTGTTTAAGTACTTTGAATTGGTATCCATACTAATAGCACCAAAGTCGATCATACAGACTCTGTGATTTTGGTCTTGTGATGTGACAACAATAAAGAAGAGTGAAAACAAGAGGAATTGTAAAACAGTAAACGCCATTTCTTTTGATATTTTGAATGATTTGAGTGTTTTATTTACAGTTTAAATATCTCTGTATGAACAGTGTTATTACAAACTGAAATGAATGGCTAAACACACGTTTTTTTAATTAAAATTATCTGAGAGTTAACTAATTTATTTATAAATAAAAATAACAATAATAGTTTAACGGGAGTTGTACTGGACTCCTTTTTTTAACTCAATATGGAAAAAACAGAAGCTTTTTACTTGAGATTCTTTTTAATAATGGATGACAATAAAGCTTTTAATAGCCTGAATATGATAAAACCCAAATTTCAAACGATTTACAGTTGAAAGTGATGTCATTGTAAAATTATCTTTATGTTGATTGCTTTTGCAAATAAGCAGTCTTTATCACGACTATTTAATGGCAAAAACGTTTTATACTTCTGAGTGGAAATGAGAATGATAAACTTAAATTTAAAATCTTTTGGTGAATCATCTTACTTGCATATAATTTGAATGTTTTTAATTACATGTCTTGTTCTTCAAACTTGAAATTAAACAATTTTACTCATTTTTGTCACAATAATTCGGGACAATTACTTGATTGTTTTAGAAGTGTTTGATTTCAGTAAGGGGTGTATTGTCGTTACATTCAGCACAAAAATGATTGAACGAATGAAAATTTCATAATAGCAGTTTATATTTGATGTTGAATAAAAGATTTGCAAATTGATTTACAGTTAAGACAAATATTAATAAAAACGCCTTAATTAAAAATAAAACCATAAAAAATAATTTTTGTGTTATATTTTTTTAATGGGTTTAAAAAAAGATCACCAAATATTCTTTTTGAAGAAAATTATTGAAAAATGTAGAAACAATGAATTATGGTTATTATCATAATAATAGATACATTGCAACTTTTTCAAATTGCATATGAGAGCAGTTTTCTAAGTTAGGATTATTGAGTGTGAATCACCATTTTTCTTTGTAGAATCAGAAAATGACATAGACCAAATTAGGAGTCGGTGTTTTCGATAATATATTTTAAAAGAAATTAAAAAATGATAGAGTTGGTTTTTTTCATTTTGTTTTGCAAAAAAATACACAACAAAATCTTTAAATAACGGGAATTAAATAAAAATTCGTAAAAACGGTAAAAAACAGAAACAACGATTTTCTGGCGTTGCATTAAATTTCCCGATTAATTAAAGTTATTATCATCTAACAATGGGACAAGTTTGAGAAAGGACAACGTTCGAATAATTATTCAATAACAAAAGAAAAAATATAAATAATAAAATGTAATGTCATATTTTTAATTAAAAAAATACATGTGTTTACTTAATTTATTTATGTTTTAATTTGTATTGTTGAAATAAACATTGTCGTGAAACCAAAGTGTATAAATATATAAATCCGAAAGTTGTTTGTTCGTTTATACAGTGACTGACATTGTTGTGAAAAGGAATAATTAATTTAAATATGTAATCAAAACGTAATTACAAGTTTTATTATTTGAATTAAATAAGTTAAGTTGTTGCATATCGAATAATATGTGGTAATAGGTTGATTAACAATAATATCAACTCAATTTTATCAACAATACACATAACATCAATAAATTATAAAAAAGAATCTAATAATTCATTTATTATTTAAATTTATGTAATAATAATTATATATTTGTTAATAAATGTTTGATAATTATATTGAAATAATAATTAAATTTTAAATTGCATTTTCATAAAACAAATAATTTTAAATGTTAATAAGTATTGACCAAATTAAAGTTTTTATATCCGTTATTTGTTTTGAGCTTGTTTGATACTGGAATAACAAATGTATGATAATTTTATGTCGTATGAGTATTTTATGGTGGTTTTTAAGTTCATTTTAAAATAATCTGTACACTTTAATATCGGGTACAAATAAGAAGTTGGTTGTCAATTAAAATTAACATGAAATTATTATAATAATAAGTCTGTTTTTAACGTTATTTAATTTTCAAATGACAGCTATGTATTATGTAAACATCGAGCATTAGTAATGTTTGAAATGAACAATTAAATAAATTTTAATGATGAAAACTTTAAATAATATATTTTTGAGATCCAAAATGCAACAGATGGCATTTAAAATTGATTGTACTGTATAAAAATTTCGAAAGTGAAGATTATTTAAACATTTAACACAAATGATTTGGTTAAAAGTAAAAAACCAAATAAAAAGACCTAATTGTTTCAAAATTAAAACAATTTGTTTCAAAAATAAAAAATTGGCACAGATTTGTCTGTGTCTTATTTATTCTAAACCGTTTTATATTATACAAACCCAAATAAAGTTAATGGAAATTATTTGTACAGAATTTTGATTAATGATATTAAAAAATATCGGGATTCTGTTCAATAAATGAAAAAATGATATTCGAATTTTATCTTTATTCCCTGGCAGGGTGTGCCAAACCAGGATGGAATTGGCCTATATAAATAGAGCAGTTTTTGGCAAAGAAAAATAAAAAATAAGCATGATAATATAAAAATTTGTGTTTTTCAGCATTTTCGAATAACAATTACCAATAATTATTTTGTTTTTTCTTTTTTTCATTCAATTCTTAAATTTTTTATTTAATTTTTAATTCTTATTTAAAATAAACTGTTTTTCAAAAGTCGGTACTGTCATATTTTTAGAACTTCCTAAAGTCCCGTTTTTATTTTTGTTTTTTCCTAAAAAATAAAAAACAAAAAATCGAAAGTATTGACTTTATTTTGAAAAAAATACCAATACAGTTCAATTATTTTCGTACAAATTCGGGAAAATGTTGGAATATTAGCCAGCCTTTTCCAAAAAACCCGATCCCGTTATTTGATTTGACCATAACTCGAAACTTCGCAACATATACACAGCATTGTTGGCCTAAAAGCACAACAATTAACGTTTAAGTGAATTGGGATGGTGTTGTTTGTGTCGAGTTTTAACTGTATATTACTTTCGTTAAAAAAATATTTTCAATTAAAAACAAACTGTGGTTATCTTCTCTGAATAAAAAATAATGAAATAAAGAGTTCCAAAAACACCAAAAAATAATTACAGCAAATGTTTGATAATTTTGACAGGCATAAGTCAAATTGTCAAAGGGCAACACCAGAAAAATAATACAAAATAACAATATTGTTTTGTTATTGGATATTTTAAAAAAGATGTTCTCACTGAAATGCTCAAAAATAATGTCTACTTCATAAAACCCAACAAAGATAAGTTATCAAATCATTTTGTTATTTTTATTGTTTTTGTAACAACACAACTAAGCATACTAATCTCCGAACTAAGCTTCTGTTTTGTGAATATTTCATTAATTATTAAAATGTTGATAATGAAAAAATTTGACATTAAGTTTATTTGCTTTTGTACTAAAATGCACTTTTGGGATAATTCGTGTGTTTTTATGAAACAAAAATCCCGTTGTTTCAAATTTTATATGGAATTTTTTAATGCTTAAAAATTCTTCAAGTAAAAAAATATTTTTTGAAGACTGTTTTTCTCTTTTTTACTTGGAAAAAATAATCAATATTTATTACAAAAAACGATTCCCAAAAATAATAAACAAAATAAATGCAAAAAATCGGGACACCCCAGTACCGACTTTTGAAAAACAGTTTAATATAAAATTATAGTTATTAAAATATTTGTTTTAATTCATAATAACTAAATGCCAATAATCGGATAATTTAATTAATATAATGTGAATATTGTTATCTTATAGTTGCAAATCACGCTTTTTACGTCTTTATACATCTCCTTATTTATTTTATGTTCTCGAACTTTATTCCGTCTATAATCAATTGTCGAGTTTTTATTAACTAAATAAAACATTTAACACGATTCAATTGTTTTTTATTATATTCCAAAAAATGCGAAGGTTAATTATTTTTATATAAAAAAATACTTTTTATTACCTGTTTAGCTGTGGATCCGATTCCAAACATGTCAAATTTTTTGAGTTATAATATATTTTTTATTAATTATGTTTTGTATTAGTTTATATTTTTCAATGTCTGTTATTAGTATAAAGAATTCAACTGTATAACACCCAACTGTCTGGTTAAATAAATAACTTAGGGGCCACATAAATTAGAGTGGTCATCTTGTCATAGCCATTATATTATACCTCGGAATCGATTGACTAAATTTTAAACGTGTAACACTCAATTATCTTGTTGGATAAAATAAATTATAGTGGTCATCAATATGAATTATTTCGTCATCACCATTCTATGTCACATACTTGACTATCCAACAAGTATTCATTAATAAAATTTATTTTCGTTATAATTTACTCTAAAACAATAAATTTTTATATTATTTTCAGTTTCTCATTGTTTCCCACCGAGCAAAAAATTGTAAATCTGAAAGAAAAAAAAGAAATTATGATTTTTGTCTTTTTGGTTTGCCACGTCACAAAAATGCCACGCAGTGCACAAATTGTTACGGTTTGGATTACCCTGTTCCCTGGTTTTTAAAATATTATTTATGTCTAAATCGATAAAAAACAAAGTTGGAGACTGAAACAACCTTTCTCAAAATACTCTCTATGTTATTTTTGCTTGTAATATAATAACATATTATTGATATATTATTTATTGAAAAAAATAATTAAATGCATCAATATATTGAACTATTATTACACTTTTATTCAATAAAATGTCCAAATGTTTGTCTGCGTTGTATGAATTTTAATATATATACACTCAAACGTTTAAAATGATTAGTTATTGTATTTTTTTGATAATTAATTTACATTTCAATTAATTAATCAAAACACTTAAATCCCAATTAATTGATGAAACGTATTTTCTAAAAACTACAAATATTATTTTAAAAATCTTAAAAATTTATAACCCGAAATATTCAAAAAATCTGCTTTGAGACAATCAGTTTTTTATCGCAAGCAAACATTTCAAATGTTATTGTGATTTGGTTGACAATTGATGTGTAAAAGAATAAAATAGAAATTTAAAAATTTAAAAATTTGTGTTGTTACGAAACTTGACAATTTGAATAAAATGAAATGGATGAATAAAATTATCATATAATAAAAAGATTTTATTTTTCGTATAATTTTTATTACTTTATATTTATTATTAAAGTTGAACCAGTGAAATTAATTCAATTCGTTTAAAAAACGTTCGAACAGAGTTTGAGTGGGAAACCCACTTCAATTTTCTTTGTTAAGAAATTATTAATGTTGCATTCAATGAACCCATTTGAAAGAAAATTAATACTTTATAAAAACACTGACAGATCTCTGTTTATCATTCAGTATAATGTTCGCAATAGTATTCCTCTATCTCACACTTTCATCTTTAGGAACAGATCCTTGCTATTCCAAAGATACAGACAAGAAATGCATCAAAGATAGTACAACAACGACAAAATGTTCAGGTACAGTCACTATATCCGCTGCTGATGCAATGCCACTTTGCGTGGATGCTTTTAAGGACAACACTGGTATCACCAGTTTTGTTTATGAAGGAACTGATAAATTGGAAATTGGGGCAAATGCATTCAAAGGAGCAACCAAATTGTCAGCATTCACTGCGAAAGCTGGAATCAAAACAATTGGAGCCAGTGCATTTGAAGGAGCAGCTGTTTTGACAAAAATTGATGTAAGTGGAGCAACTGAAATACCAGCAAACGCCTTTAAGGATTGTGTATTATTGGATACTCTCACTGGTACTGAGGCTATTACTACTGTCCAGGCAGCCGCCTTTTCTGGTTGTGTTAAACTCACTTCAGTTAACTTCTATGCTCCTTTGGTCACTCTTCTCGACCAAATGACAGCCCAAACAAATTTTTTCTTCCATGGAAAAGTCCAACCAACAACTCTTCCAACCACAACATCTCCAATTAATGCAAATTTGAAAGTCTATGTTCAAGATTCTTACTTGGCTACTACTTTTGGAACTCTTGCTGTATTAAAAGCTCATTGCAGTACTCTTCAATGTGTTGATGTTACTCCAGCAACACCAGAAGTCCCTCCATCTAGTGGAAAGATGGCTGAAAGTCCCAAATGTAAGGATTGTGATGTTAAATTAATGAGTGTTGATGGTAATAACTATTATTGTGAAATTGATATGACTGAGTGTATTTCAACTCATGAAAACTGCAGAATTTGCCTTGATGGTAAATGCACCAAATGTGGAACAACTGCACAGTATTTGGAAAATGACAAATGTGTAACTGACTGCGCAGAAGGTAATTATAAAGACACGATCAACTCCGTTTGTGAAAAATGTGACACTGGTTGTAAAACATGTACTGAAAAGGGAAAATGCACAAGCTGCCCAGAAGGTCACTTGTTGCTTGATGATACTAAAAAATGTACCACTGATGCCAATTGCCCGGCTGGATATTATAAAGATAACACAAATTGCATGAAATGTTCTATAACGGATTGTGGTGAATGTACTTCAAAGACAGAATGCACAAAATGCACAAAAGGAAATTTGATTAAAGACAAAACTAAATGTGAAGCCAATTGCCCAGATAAATTCTACCCTGTTAACAATGTTTGCACTGATTGTGATACTACTTGCAAAAAATGTACCGAAGCTGGAAAGTGCACAGAATGCCCAGATAACACATTTTTGATTGAAGACACCAAAAAGTGTACCACCAACTCCGAATGCCCAGCTGGATACACAAAGGATACTGCAAACAAAAAGTGCTTCAAATGTGATGTTTCGTGTAAAACGTGCAAGGATTCAAATACATGTGAAACATGTGCTGACACTTATTTGTTTGTTGAAGACACAAAGAAGTGTGTGAAGGATAAATGTCCAGAAAACTACTTCACCATGGATAAGACATGCAAAGCCTGTATGTCTGGTTGCAAAACTTGCACCAAAGTAGACGACTGCTCTGCTTGTATAACTGGAAAACTGTTTGAGGAAGGAACAATGAAATGTGTCGACAATTGTGAACTTGGATTTTTCAAGAAGAATGACACCAATTGTGACAAATGCTCGGAAAAATGCGAGAAGTGCTCTGTCCTTGAAATTTGCGACAAGTGTGTTGATGGTTCTTTAATGAGTGATAAAAAGTGTGTTAACATGTGCCCAGAAGGTACGTTTGAAAAAACTGGAGTCTGTGAGAAATGCAAAGACAAAAGTGAGTACAAGACTCCATGCACAGATAAAGAGTGTGAAATGTGCACTGCTTCGGGTGCTTTTGCGACATTAATTATGTTTGCAGTTGCACTCTTTGTGATGTTCTAAACAACACCTCATCTTTTATTTTGTTTTTTTGAATAATTATTAAAGAACATTCAAAACATCTTTATACTTTAGTTCTACATAATATATTTAAATTTAATGGAAAATAAAACAACTAATGTTTCCAATTTATATATTTTTGAGTTAGTTTAAAAAACACTTAAACTATTTAAAGAAAAAAACAGAAAGGGGTAATTATATTTCCATGTCCAATTTATTTCAATATTATTAATTAATATACACATTTAAATGAATCAAAAAACAGTAAATCACTTATCAGAAAACTCAAAACCCAAATGGAAATAAATGAAATTGGATGCACATTGTTAGTTGTCGGAGGTGATCGTGTGGGAAAGTCAAATTAAATTACAAATATGTTATGGTCAATTTGTACCAGATTACGAACCAAATATTAAGGAAGATATTTATGTAACAAATATCACATTAAATAAAAACAAGGTCAATTTTGCGTTTATCGACTTGCCACACAACCGAGAATATGTCGATAAAGAAACTTACAAATATTATATTGAACGTGAATATAAATATGCTGAGGCGTTTGTTTTGTGTTATTCTATTACATCTTTTGCTTATTTTGAAGAAGTTAAGGCAATCAAAGATCTAGTTTGGAAAAGTTAAGAACCATATTTTTCATATACACTACCTGCTGTCTTATGTGGAACAAAATGCGACCTTGAAAACGAACGAGAAGTGACAAAAGAAAAAGGTGAGGAACTTACAAATGAGTGGGGTATGCCATTTTTGAATGTTCTTTAAAACTTGACATTAATATCAGAGAAATTTTTCAAAGTCTTGTTCAAATTGTTGTTTCAGCAAGAACATATTATTATAATAAACTGTTTTTAAAAGTCTGTACTGGAACATCCCGAATTGCATTAATGATAGAATGATATAATATTATTTGTAATTGATATAATTCATATTAATAATAAAAAATAAATACTATAATTTTTAAATTATATTCAATCAAAATATAATAAAAATCAATAGTTAGAGTGACTTTTCAAGGTGTGCAAGTTAGTTTAAAAATGTTCAAGTTAAGGTATAGTTCATTTATAATTTTTTTATTAAAAAAATAGAATCATTAATTTTTTGAAATTTTGAAAAAAAAGATTATTTTTAGTTAAATTATAAATTATAAATTTAAAGTTATTACTAAACTATACTTTAACTTGCACACTTTGTGACGTTGCAATTTTTAACTTTCACACTTCGTATACAATATATTAAGCGACAATTTCGGGAAAGCGACCCAATGGAAATTATGGAAGGACCAGTTCTGGACAACAGTGCACATCGATTTGTAACAATGAACTGCACCTATTAAACAGACTATTTGTTATTGTATGCTATAAAATGGCACAGAGAAAAACATAATGTTTATCATACTTCTTCTTGTCGCTTTGAATTACGCTTACACAAGAGACATCGACATTTATTCACTTCTTGAAACAAAACAATTTTTTCGTTAAACACGTAGACAAACCATTACCCAATTTTTATAATTTAATTTGCTTTTTGTAGTTTATTAATTCAAGTATTAAAGGGTTGTATGTTTTTTGAAACAATTTTGAAACGAATAACATTTTCAATAAAATGTTTTTTAACTAAAATTTAGTCTTGCACGCCCTTTCCCTGTAAAAAAGACGAAAAATTTTAACTTGCACACCTTGGGGGAATCACTTTACATATATTTGTGTAATAAATTACACAATACTTGACAAATAAACATATTATTTCTAATAAAACAAAAAACAATAAATTAAGTATTATTAAATTTAACTCAAAATAAATAGTGTAATAATTTCAAAATGACCAATTATATAACAATGTATTTGATTGACCATTTTGACAATAAAAGGTGTGTTTTAAATTTTAATAACATATTGAAATGGTAAAAGAAAACAACCACAGTTCAGAAGATGACGAGGCTTTAAAAGAAGATGATAAAGCTGCCCTTAACTGTCAAAGACAACAAATGTTAGATGATGAAAGCTCAAATAAAAAAGATGATAATTCAGAAAACAATGAAAATTCACAAGAATTTACACCTGTTGTCATACCACCAGAAACAACAATTATTGAAAAAGGTGCTTACGAAAATCAAAGTTTTGAATCCATTAACATTCCAAGCACAGTTCAGTCTATTGGCTATATAGCATTTTCTGGTTGCATCAATTTAAAAAGTATTGTAATTCCAGACTCGGGGACTTCAATTGGCAAATATGCATTTAAAAAGTGTCCACTGACTTCGATAGTCGTTTCAAAAAACGTACATTCATTACCCGGTTTTGTATTTGAAAAGAATCGTTTAGTTTCTTATACAGTACCTGAAAATATTCAAAGTCTTGGTTCATATTCATTATACTCACATAATTTAACATCAATTGAGATGTCTGATAGTGTTACCGAACTTGAGAATAGTGCATTCAGTCGTATGAACCATCTGGTTCACATAAAACTGTCGAATCAAATAAAGGAACTCCCAAAAATTTATTTAACGAAGATGTAAGATTGAGAAGTATTGTAATTCCGACTAGTGTGACTAAAATCGGAAGGGAATGTTTTGAGTATTGTCCACTTGATGGAGAGAAAGTGTTTAGAATTCCTCCAAATGTAAAAGTAATTGAAGATGGTGCTTTTGTGAAATGCAACTTTGAAGAAGTTGTAATTGAAGGAGACATCACAGAAGTGGCAAGTTCAGTGTTCAATGACTGTAAATATCTTTCTAAAGTGACTCTACCAGACTCTGTTACAAAATTTGGAGATTATGCATTTGCTGGCTGTGCATTTGATAAAGTCTTTTTCCCAAAGAGTGTGAAAGAAATTAAACAGGGGGTATTTTCTAGAAATAATAATATCAAAGAGTTGGTTTGGGATGAAAGATTTGATTGTATTCCAAATAAATATGTCAGTGAATGTCGTAACCTGTCTAAAATAGTGATACCAAATACTGTGACATCAATACAGGAATCTGCTTTTAATGCTTGTATATCACTTGTAACACTTGAAATACCAAATTCAGTGGTCAAAATTGGTGATAATGTATGTGATGGCTGTAAAGAGTTAAGAAGTGTCACATTGCTTGTTGGAATAACAAAAATTAATTTTGGATTATTCTCAAATTGCCCGAAATTGAGTGAAGTTAAAAATATGGAGAAAGTAGTCAAAATAAAAAAGGATGGGTTTAAAGGAGCTCACAGAATGTTTAAAAATGGAATCCCAATTAACTTGACAGAAATAGGAGATTGGGCTTTTTCTGGGTGTGGAATAAAAGAGTTGATTGTACCAAAATTGGAACTAAACAACAAAGTATTTTCTAAAAACAATAATTTGACCAAAGTAGTTATTTCAGATGGTGTTGACAAACTCCCTGAGAAATGTTTTGCAGAATGTCCAAATCTGAAAGTTGTTGTTATTCCAAATACAGTCGAGTCTATTGAGTCAGAATGTTTCTTTAATTGTATCAGTCTTGAAGAAATTTCCATTCCAAAGAGCGTCAAAAGTATTGGAAAAGACTGCTTTGCTAATTGCAAGAACCTTAAAAAGGTAAACAAAGATGATTCACTCAATTGTAATGAAACTGTATTTGTGGGTTGTCCACTTTTATCGAGAAATGGTGCGATCAAAAAGGACAATCAATCTATTGGTGCTGTTGCTCATATTCCCATTGAACCATCCGAAATTCAAGAATACGACTTTGAAAACAATGACATTATAGAAGAAGTTATCATGGCAGACTCTATAAAAACTTTAGGATTCAGATGCTTTAAAAACTGCACCAGATTGTCCAAGGTAGTACTTTCTCAAAGTCTTGAAAAAACAAATGTAGAATGTTTTTCTGGGTGTGTTAGTCTCAAAGATATTGAATTACCAAAAAGTCTCACTGACATGCAAGAATCTGTTTTCAGTGGATGTGTAAGCCTTACTAAAATTGTTATTCCAAAAAAGATTAATAAACTTGATTATGGTACTTTTGAAAACTGTGACAAGTTGGAAATAGTACAGTTTTTAGGCGATTTTAGAAATTTGGAAGATTGTGTATTTGCCAATTGCAAGAGTTTGAAAGAATTTGTATTTCCAGGAAATTTTTTCATGATTGGGAAAAGGTGTTTCCAAAATTGTGAAAAACTAGAAAAAATAATTTTTAACTACAATATATATCTTTATGACCATCTTCTATTCAGTGGATGTGTAAGTCTCAAAGAAATTGAAATTGATTTTATGTACGTGCCTTTCAGATGTTTTGATGGATGTGTCAACCTTGAGAAAGTCACTTTTGGAGATAAGGCTGAAATTATTTATAAGTGGTGTTTCAGAAATTGCAAATCGTTAAAAGAAATCACTTTGCCGAAGAACCTCTGTTATATCAACGAAAAAACGGTATTTGAGGGGTGCGATAATCTGAAGAAGATCATTTACCCAGAAAACTACAAAAAGGATATTTAGAATATCCAGATGCTTTTAAGACTTAAATGCTTTTAAAACAGTCTTCATTCAATTTGTTTTCTTTTTATAATATAATAAATATAATCGAATCGACAATTCAAAAATATCAACTTTTTGAAAATTTTGAATAACACATGTTTTTTTGACTCTTATAAAATTCAATATATTATTTGAATTTTTGTTTGATTTGTGTGTGTTAATGCACAAAACAAAATTTAATAAACAAAATACCTCTTTTACAAAACTTTAATATACATTTTAAACAACTTGATTTTGTTCAATGAAGTCTCGTGACATTTTTTAAAATAAACAGTCTTTTTTTCCCAATGTTTAGAATTTTAGAGTAAATAAATTAATAAATTCAATTTTACTTTATTAAAACAGTGAGTGGACACTTATTTAAATTCAATAATTACAAACACCACTTTTTGCCACATTTTAGAAAATCAAAGATAGATTTTTTAATGTTCAGCTTCATATTAAAAATAGAAAAGTTTGGTTGAGTTAAGATGCAAAGTCATTCTTTAAACCGTTCAACTTTGACGTGTCAGTGCAACTTTGTATAAAGCATAATTATAATAAAAAAGTATATGTGTTTATAAAACAAAAAAAGAAAACACAAACATTTTTTTAAAACTATTACTCAAATTAAAATACTATAACTAAATTAAAACCAAAGTTGCACAATTCTTTTCAATTTGTTTTTTGGGTTGCACCATTTAATAATTTCATGTTTACCGAAATTTTGCAGGGAAAAAGTCTTTGAATCACACGAATTGGGTTGTCTTATTATTTTCGTTTTATTCACGTAATTCTTAATATATGCGCTATCCACAATCGATATACAACACTGTTTTATTCGCTCTGTATGACAATTGGAATTCTGGGATTTTAATGTTTTTATTAGAACAATCAGTTGAACCTATCATTTAACAATCGAGTTATATTTAATGTCGTTTTATAAACCAATTAATCTTTTTGTTATTGTTTAAAAATAGAGTTTCACCTTTGTTTTGAGTGAAAAACAAAGACAAAACAAAGTTGCACACTTATTAGGAATGACTTTATTTTCATTTTTTTGTATTTTTATACATTAGTTCGAATTCAATTCCCATTTTTTGTACAAAAATACAGCCCTTTTTTGATTAGATAACGTTTTGAACGAATAATTTGTTAGACCGACTCTAAAAATAATAATATTGGGTTAATGATTGTAATTGTCTGTGATATAGTTATCTCATTTCTATACATATGTAACAGGTTTTTCTTTTTGATTTACAACAATAATAATAAATAAATAATGATAAATATCTTTATTTTGATACAAACAATTGATGAAGCACAAAAAAATTAAATTACCAAAAGTGCCAATAAAAAGATTTCAATAATTTGGATAATTTTTGTTGCACTTTTTGGTATTATTTGTATTCCAATTTCTTCAAATGGAATTTGCTTCCAACACTCCATATTCAGAACAGGTGAGTCATCTTTCAATCTCAAATCTCCGTTGTCGGCATCAACAAACAACGGATCGACACTTGAATTGTATTTATTTTTGTTATAAACTTTGTAATTTGATGTAACTGAAGCATCCACATAATAATCCCACTTTTTTGATTGATAAGGAACATTGCAATCAACAACACAATTTTCAGGGTAAAGCCAGTGTTTTTCGTTCACAATTTGGTCGTTACTATTTGGTATTTCATACAGCTCAGGGTACTTACTTTTCCAAGGCTCTTCAAGTCTATTAACACCCTCCAAATTACATCTTTCAAGCAAATTTCCTTCTGCATATGGTAAAGTAGAGTACATCCAAGTCGACCCACGAGAGTCTCCACTATAAGCAAAATCGCAGTCGTACATAATGTTATTAGTTATGTTATTATCTCTTCCTCCTCCATGTTGGACACCAATACCTCGTATTGTTTTCATGACGTTACCAAATACAGTTTCTCCAGATAACATATCGTCGAGGTAAATACCTTGGACACACGAACTGTTATCCCATCCAATAACATTTGATATGTAATTGTATTTAATAACATTCCCACGCCAATCCCATCGCCTTCCTGAGTATATTGCACCAGCATCATTCATAAAGAAACAAACGTTTTGGATTTTATTATAACTTATCTCATGCTCATTGCCACTGAATGTTATTGCTTGACATGGACTGTTCTCGATAAAATTGTGTGTGGCAATATTACCAACTCCCTCTAAAATAATTGCTGGAGTGTACGTGTAATGATTTTGTGAAAATTCAGAAAAGTAGTTTTGACTCACTGAACAACTTCCATTCAGTAAATTGACTCGGTCTCCACATGTCATTACAACACCTTTGGTTCCAACATCAACAACTTTGTTCTGAACAAAATTAGACATATTACCAGTAATTAGAGCTCCAGCTTTCCCTGTATGGTAGAACGAACACTCTTTGATTGTTATTTGGTCGCCAATAATAGTTATAAAGTTATCTGGGTTATATTTAAAGTCCAAATTTTCTATTTTTATATTGTTAACGTGGTCGATATTTAACACCACACTTGTTGAATGCGTGATCCAAATCTCTTTTGGTGTTTTATGGAAAATGGCATAAACCTTTCGCTCATCTCTGTCGATATAGTATTCCCCTTCTTCATCCAGTTCTTCAATCAAATTATATACAAAAAAGTACGTCTGATTTCCAATTCCATAACTTGCTGGCCACTCTAAATTTATTACTCGTTTTGTTTTGTCAATTGAAGCAATCGGAAGTGAATTGTCCGCCCACTGAAACATGAAAAAGCCCTTTGCCCACATCCCTTTTACACCTTCCCAATTATCTATACGGTCGTCGTTATATCCAAACACTTTGTTATTAACGTCATTCGATGCGGAATATGCATTATACATAAATCCTCTATAAATAGTCTTTTCAGCGGGTAAATAAACTTTCCCAGACGCTCCTGAATTATCAAGTGGTGTCAAATTACCAGAAAAAATTGATCTTTTTGCGTTCCAAGAAGCTCCATCAGAAGCAGTTGGTACTTTACAGTTATTTAATGAAGAGAGATAAAATGTTCCATTATTATTATAAATAAAGTAATCTTTGTTTTCAACTGGCATAGTTTTTTTATAAACAGTTTTGTCATTACAAACAAAGTCTGTTGGTCTGTAATACCCAGATACGTCTGGGAATATGAAAGTTTTCTGAGATAAATTGTGTCGACTTTGGTCTCTTTTGGAATGTATTCTTTGTTGGGGTATCGTGCCACTGTCATTCTTTGATTATCAACAAAAAGTTCACTTGTTTTAGCTTCGTACATTGGAAGTAAGTTTACATAATTGTTTAAAGAATCGAGTTCGCATACTTTAACATTTGGTCTACTAATTTGTGGAATTTTAGTAAAAGATTTTGAGTCTTTTGTTTCATCCAATTTACGAAAACAATTAATGGGTATTTGTGTACCTCCAACAAAGGTCGCACGTTTGTTGGGGTAAACACTAGAAATAGTAATTGGAACGTTTTTTGAATTGTTTAAAAATGTGGAATTAATTGTAATTGATTCATTAATAATTGGGTAAATACCAGGAAATATTTTGAAATTAATACCATCTGAAGGCAGTTCTTTATCAGAAAATGACATTATTGCAGCTTGGAGAGTTTGAAATACTTGGTTGACATTAACATTCTTTTCGGTATCATGTCCATTAATGGAAATATAAACGTCATATGATAGAGTGATGGCAATAAACAAACAAAGGATCAACATAATTTTAAGATTTTTATTGAAAAATTTTTATTGAGAAAAACCACGTTTTCGATTTTTCAAACGAATTTTTTGAGAATTTTTTGTAGTTTTATATATGGGAAAGAAGATTTTTTTTAATTAATTTTTGTAATTAATTACAAAGTTGATTTTTTGTTTGAATTATTTGAAATTTTACTTTTCTGTAATTAATCTTTTTCGTTAAAGTAAATATAATATCACATTTTTAATATTAATCAAATTTTAGGTGTTGAAAAGTTATTAAAAACTATTTGAAGATTTCTGTACATTTTAGACTTGATGAATATAAACAATATTTTAACTGTATATATTTCATAATTTTAATTTACTTTTTCATATTTTTAACAAATAAGTAACGACTTAATTATCTAATTAACGAAGATGAATAACTATGTTTATTAATAAATATTGAATTCTAATTAATGTAACACTTGATGGTTTTGTTACACTTATCAGATTCTTACAATTATACCAACAAAAATCACCAATTGATTTCATATTTGAAGGTATTCTAAAAAATTGAGACTACCACATGCATAGAATCATTTTTTACTAAATGAAATGACACTTGCTGATTTTGTAACACAATAAAATAATTACATCCATTAAACAATTTTAGCCAATTAATTTGACATTTAATAGGATCGTAATACTGATATAACTTATACACTATTTGAAACCACCACGACTAATTGATCTAACGCTCAATGGTTTGTTATTACCATTTTTTTATCATTTTGAATGTTAGTGATATTTTTAAATTTGATGTTGCAATTTTTGTTTTTATCGAAAGTTTCAAAATCAACACTGAACCACACAATTTAATGAAAGAACTCTATCTTTATAACAGCTCCATTTCACAATCTTTGTTTTTTATGTTTATCGGAAATCCATTGCCAATTTTTCATCCCTTTTAGTCTGCAAGTGAAGTGTCTTGATGTCTCGAAAATATTTAAGTGTTTTGAAATTTAAAGGAATTAGATTTAAGTGGAACTTCTTTATATTACCACCAATTTTCTTTGCATACAAACTCCAAATTTATAAAGTTTCTAATGTCGTCGAAGTATTTTGAAATTATCATGATTTGATAACCAGAAAGTCCACATTTTGAAATTCATGTTTTTAATAAATCCAAAGTTATGAATTTAAGTTTAATAAATATTTAATTGGTTCTTTTAATATAATGGTTTTATCAGTAAAACCAATTTAAAAGTACCTTATTTGTTATTTGGATAAAAAATCAACAATTAATTTATAAATATAAAAACATTAGAAAACTGTCCCATAATGTTATTAAAATATTGAACAAACAAAAAAAAACCGGAATAAAAATTATATAATTTCACAAAACAAATGAGTGAAAAAACGAATTTAAATAAATATAAATTTTATAAAAAGAAAACAAATTGAATGAAGACTGTTTTAAAAGCATTTAAGTCTTAAAAGCATCTGGATATTCTAAATATCCTTTTTGTAGTTTTCTGGGTAAATGATCTTCTTCAGATTATCGCACCCCTCAAATACCGTTTTTTCGTTGATATAACAGAGGTTCTTCGGCAAAGTGATTTCTTTTAACGATTTGCAATTTCTGAAACACCACTTATAAATAATTTCAGCCTTATCTCCAAAAGTGACTTTCTCAAGGTTGACACATCCATCAAAACATCTGAAAGGCACGTACATAAAATCAATTTCAATTTCTTTGAGACTTACACATCCACTGAATAGAAGATGGTCATAAAGATATATATTGTAGTTAAAAATTATTTTTTCTAGTTTTTCACAATTTTGGAAACACCTTTTCCCAATCATGAAAAAATTTCCTGGAAATACAAATTCTTTCAAACTCTTGCAATTGGCAAATACACAATCTTCCAAATTTCTAAAATCGCCTAAAAACTGTACTATTTCCAACTTGTCACAGTTTTCAAAAGTACCATAATCAAGTTTATTAATCTTTTTTGGAATAACAATTTTAGTAAGGCTTACACATCCACTGAAAACAGATTCTTGCATGTCAGTGAGACTTTTTGGTAATTCAATATCTTTGAGACTAACACACCCAGAAAAACATTCTACATTTGTTTTTTCAAGACTTTGAGAAAGTACTACCTTGGACAATCTGGTGCAGTTTTTAAAGCATCTGAATCCTAAAGTTTTTATAGAGTCTGCCATGATAACTTCTTCTATAATGGTGGACGGGCCGAATAATGTTGAATTAAATAATTTGCACTCGAATAATGATGTATTGAATGTGTTTCAACAATAGTTCAAAAGCAAATCAACGAAAAATCAATTCAATTATTTTCATACAATGTTTTATTTTTAGTTTCTAAAACTTTATAAAATCACTCTAAATCGGTTTAAACAGAAAAGTACAGTAAGTTCCCTTCATAAATTATTAATAACACATTCGAAACAATATAACTTTTATTGAAAGATCGAAATGGGGTTATTTTTGTATTTATCAACAAATGATAAACCAAATAGAGTTAGTCAAAAACGTTGTCCTGGGATTTTTGGTCAATGAAAATTGGAAAATATCGGGATCATGTTGAAAATATAAAAAAAATCGTCGTTTCAGTTTTTTACCGTTTTTTTTTATTTTTACCTGATTCCCGTGATTTTAAACAAATGTTTGTGTATAAATTGAAAAAACCAACTTTGGCAATTGGGACAACGTTTTACAACAAACTCTTATTAGTATGTTGTAACAATAATTTGCTCATTACTCATCAAACTGTATTTCATATCATTAAAAAAAATTAAAAAACAATACTTTATAACAATCTTAAATAAATTAAATATTTGAAGGAAATTTAATGGTATTATTTATGATAAAAATAAAATATATTCAACTTAAAAGTTAAATATAACTTATACTTTTGATTATATGGTAAAAAAACAATATAAAAGGCACTTTTTTAACAAGTTGTATTTATTTTTTGTATTTATTTTTACACAGATACAAATATGGTATATAATAAATAATATAAATAAAATAAAATTTATTGGATTTTAATAAATTGACTATTAATAATAATTTAACAGTTGAAAAGCGTGTGATGTTTTAAAATTTATTTTATTATTTTGAAAAATTAATTAATTATAAAAATAAGATTTTACAAATATTATTGTGTTATAGTAATCCAATAAATATTTAATTACTTCTTTTAACTTCTTTCTTTCTTTTAGAACTCTTTTTCTTTCTTTTCCCATCACCCGGTATGTGTCTTTTTGAAGGTGGTATATGATTGGGTGACAGAATAATTTGGATCAAATATTTTAGAGTGAATATTTTGGAGTGAATATTCTAATGTTTTTCAATAATATGTAAAAATCCTTTAATTAAACGGGAAAACATTATTAATTTATCAAAACAATTTGTTATTTATATTTTGACAAAAACAACGATTTATAACCTTAAATAAATACAACAATAAATTAAACACATAATTTTAATTCATTATTACCATTTTTCAAAAAAAACTTAACAAATTATTATATTTTATTTTTTTATCATTCAATGTTACATTCAATATATCGAAGTATAATTACAATATTAAACTCAATTGTACCATATTAAAAATGTCTTTTTTATTGGTTATTGTTTTTTATCAAATAATTTCTATTATACAATCAAATGTTTATATGTTTTAATATTTTTTTTACAAAACCAACAATACCAACCACATTATTAGTAATTTTAATGATTTAATTGTCATTTTTGGACTTATTTATACGTTTAGCTTTTTTGTTCTTAGTTGTTGACTTTTTCTTACGTTTACCATCACCAACAAACCTCCTGCGACAAGGACATATATAACCAATTTCGTTCTTCTTTTGAATTGTGGTTCTTGAAATCACCAAAACGTTTTTATCTTCAGTTTCTATTAATTCATCTATACCATTATCACACTCAACACAAACACTTTTTCCTTTGCAATCTTTGATAGTACTCTTTTGTTCAGTATTATGTTTGGAATTATCACCATCACAATTAATTAATTGGTCATTTTTTTCTGTCATATATTCATCATCGTCATTGATACAATTATATTTTGCATAATCTTTAATTTCACCGACATAATTTTCATCACACTTTTGATAATTAATCAAATCTTTCTTGAGATCAATAGTATCTTGTGTTTTAATGTCCAACTCATATAATTTTGTCCATTTAAGATGGTCCACATTATTAATTATTTCTTTTTGAAAAATGTTTTGTGAACTACTATTACTATAATAGTTTAATGTCAAATTGTATATTTTAGTGGGTCTTTTATAAAAGTGGTTGTTTCCAGAATCCATTTGTTTTATTTTGTTTATTTCGCTTTCTTCAATTTTCATTAAATGAATAATTAGTTTTCCGATTGTAGGTTTTTTGCATGATAACCTTTTGACAAGTGATGAGTGATAACATTCACTTAAATTATAGGTTCTGATTTGTTGATTAAATTGACACCATATACGGATAGGCCATTTTTCTATCCAATTCACTTGAAAATAGTCCAGAAGTTTAAAAACGCCCTCATGAGAACCATCTTCAAAATCTTCCATTTTTATTAGTCTTCGGATTTTTTCAAACATCAATGGAATATCACTAGGTTTGTAAAATGCTATAGTTTTTAATTTGCTGACAAGTTTCCAAATTTCAGAACCCGGATTATAATAGGATGACAGTCCAACTTTTTGAACTTCACGCCATATACATTGTGTATAATGAAAGTAACACCCATGAATAATACAACCAAAATGAGTTAAAGCGTTTATTGCTGCTACTTCAAAATCTAACATAATGCTCATTTCATTTGTAAGAAGTGGATAACCCAAAGTTTTGATACAGAATGAGTTGATAAGATTGAACATGATCAAATAATCAGACTCTTTGCGGTTTGACATAAGAGAGTGAGATAATGTAAAATTTTGACCATTGGCCAAAATACAATGTATTGTATATAATTGTGAATAAGATTGTGGACAAGAACTAAAGGTGCCATCCATACACAAATAAGCAATCTTTCTCTCTTTCAACATATTAATTTTGTCTTTTGAAATCATCAAAAATATATCATCTTCGTCTTCAATATAATATTTTCCACTCTGAAGCAGTTCTTTTGTTTTTTCTATTATTAATTCATGTTTTATTTTATTAATTGTTCTTCTTAGAGTGGTTTTTCGGCGTTTATCTTCTGGTATCACAGATTCGTATTGCTCAAGTAATTTTGTTCCGGATGTTAGAATGTTAGTTCCTTGTTTGACTAGTTGAACAATGTGTGAATTGTCGGAAACGACATTTGATTTTTCGTGATGATGTTGTGTTATAGAATTTCGTATGAATTTATATTTGAGAAATTTCATCTGTTCGCCTTTCGCCTTCATATTCAACAATTTCTATTTTCATTTCGCAGTCGCAACATTTAAAAACATTTCTTGTGCCATTTTGTGCATGAAAAGTGTATCCATCAATACTTGGAAGCATATAATGTGTACCATTTTTAGAAATTTTACGACTTTTTATTTGAGTAATATTTGTAAACACTTGATCGTATATTATATTTTTTTTCGGTTTCTATTTCGTGTTGATCTTTTCTAGTAATAACTTTGCAGTCTTTTCTATGTTGTAAAGTATTTATTATGATAGGCATTTTTGTTTTTGTAAATTGAACGTTCGATGTGTTTACAGTTTTTTCAACATGAGACTCAATTTGTGTTGTCGAAAACAAATTATTAGGACAATTGTAATTTGGTAATATATTTGAAGGATTATTTAAATTTTGAATTGACAAACAATGTTGTTGGTTAAACTCTCTGTGACAATTTGAATTATCACTTATATAGTTTGGAGAAATATAGTACGGATAATAGTGATTGGTAAACAATTGTGTATTGTTAAAATAACCATTTTGTATTAAGTTTGTTGGGTTATAATAATTGTATTGTGGTTGGTGAATAAAATCGTTTTGTGTGGTAATTTCTTTATCCCCAACTTGACTTAAATTATAATACATACCGCTAGTTGTGTTGTTGGCGTGTATAATTGGTAACATATTGACAGTGTAATTTAATAAGATTATAAATATCGTTAATAAACAAAAAAACTCAAACTCATACTATATAAAATTATATTTATTTAATAAAAATTTATTTGGTTAAAAGTATGAAAACATGTGATTAATTAATGTCAATATTAAAAAGCCACGAAATATAATTAAATTACATTGAATAATAAAAATAAAATATAATAATTTGTTAAGTTTTTTTTTGAAAAATGGTAATAATGAATTAAAATTATGTGTTTAATTTATTGTTGTATTTATTTAAGGTTATAAATCGTTGTTTTTGTCAAAATATAAATAACAAATTGTTTTGATAAATTAATAATGTTTTCCCGTTTAATTAAAGGATTTTTACATATTATTGAAAAACATTAGAATATTCACTCCAAAATATTCACTCTAAAATATTTGATCCAAATTATTTGGCCCTTACACCGTGTAAAAGTAGTCTTGTTTGGAGTGAAGGCGCACATATTTCCACAATTGCACACCATAAAAAGAGTCTCTGTACCTTTTACATGTTTCTTGGTATGGTAGGAAGTGTTCAAGTTGTTAGTGTCCATATAAGTAGTTGTTATTGGAATATGACTATTACATTCTGGGCAGAAATAAAGTGTTGTTGTTGAATTACAAGTGCAGATATAATAATCTTCGAGAAGTGGAGTATTGCAAAATCCTTGTGGAGTATGAAGAATTGCTTGTCGCACATCATTTTTATCAGAAAACAAGAGAGAGTCAAAGTAATAATTGTAATCAATCGGGCGGATTATGTCGGAAACTAAATTATTAATATCATTATTTTCAATATCACCAACGTCAAAATTTTCATTATTAGTCTTTGAATATAAAGGATTCAGGTCTTGTGTATTTTCTTTTTTGAAAGTGGAATTTATTTCGTCACTTGAAATAGTTATTGGTTTTTGAGATGCATTCAATAAGTGATCTGAAGAAGAATCATTATGAGCACATTTGTCTATGTCTATAGGTTGCAAAAGAGTGGGTGAATGCTGGCAAATATTCGGAGAGCTATCAAGACGCGAGAAACATTGAGTCAACTGGTCGATTACAATGTCCATTTTAGTTAATTACAGTTTTGTAAATAATATTATTAATTTTTAGTAAGCAAATTAAACACAATTAATGTATTTTTGAATAGTGTAATTCGTTGAAAATAGAAATTTATTATAGTAATTTACTTTAAAATTCAAATAAATAACTGCACTTCTTGTCATAATAAAAAATACTAACTTTGTTTTTATTTAAATTTTAATAACAAAGTAACAAATATTTCAAATCATTTATATTTTTTTGTGAACATTTAAGAAAATAATAAAATATTTTTAAAATTAAAAATTTTAAATATTAATTT